GCAAGAATTTTTTTTTTTCTTGGCATGAATCCTCCATCGATTTTGATGATGATAATGATGATGATGATTATTATTATTATTATGATGTACCGAAATGTACTATTTTTTTTAAATTCTGATTCTGATTCTGAAAATGCTATTTGTCGAAAAAGTTTCATTAAAAATAATTTTTTTCGATATTTTAAGCTCGGCAAAAGATTGGCAAAAAAAAAATGTGACACACACACACACAAACGAACAAACAGACATACTTATATCTATAGATGATTTTATTTATTTTCAAATTAGAGCCAATTTCTGATCCATCGTGGACACAATTTTTTTTTTTTTTTTGAAGATTCAGTGTGTGTCTGTTGTAAATATTGATCTTGAGTGCCGTGTGTCTGTGTGTGTGTGTGTGTCCATACGGTTTTTTTTCTCTACATTAATATTTGTACAAAACTTGGTTTTGTTTGCATCTCAAATGGTTTTTTTTTGGATGTTGAACAACAACAACAACAACAACAACAACGACGACAACAACAATAAGCAAAATCCTTGAACGAAAGTAAAAAAAAATTGGAATCCATTTTCACAATTTAGCTAATTGATGTATGTAACCAGATATATTTTCGCAGGCTCTCTCTCTCTCTCTCTCTCTCTTCCTGGGACATATCCATCTACTTTTTTTTTTGGTCCAAGTCCGTTGAAATTGTTCTAATCAATTCCATTTTTCTTGTTTGTGTGTGTGTGTGTGTGTGTGTTTGGTTCATTTGAAAAGCACCAGATTTAATTTCTTCATTACTCATTTTCTGATTAAAATAATCATCATCAATATGGACAGATTCTATTACAGAAAAAAAATTTCCACATAAAGATCAAATGAAAATTTTTTTTTCCCTTAGATTTTCAAAAGCATCCGTTTTAATGATGATGATGAAAAAAAAATACATGGAACCCTATGCTAGTGAATTGGCTTGATTAGCATTTTTTTGGCTCTCTCTCTCTCTTTCTTTGTGTGTGTGTGTGTGTGTGTGATCCATCTTGTTTGGCAGCAATTTTTCTATTGGCCCCACCATCACCATCACCATCACGACTACCGTCCTTTTTATTATTGCCCTTGTTGTTGTTGTTGTCATCATTGTTGTAGTTTTCGTTGTTGTTGTTGTTGGTGACAAGCAAAATGAGTGATATATATTCTAAAGTTCTAGAAAGTCTTTATCTTTAATACAAGAGCAATCCCCTTGTTCCTTCCCCCCAAAAACACACATACACACACACACAAAAAACGACCACACCATGAACATGATGATGATGATTATTATTATTTAGTCAAAAGAATTCGATCACTATTAGAATCTAATTAGATGTTTTCTCTCTGTCTTTTTCTGTCGTATTACGATGTACTGGGTGGATTTTGATTCAATTCGATTTTATTCCATATTATTCTATGCTCCATGTTAGTCTTTCGCTGTTTTTCTCTCTTTTAATCGAATGAATTTGAAACATTCACGAATGATGAAAGTCAAATCAGAATGAATGAATGAAAGAACGAATGGGAAAGAAAGAAAAAAAGGGATAAAAAAACAACGAAATTTAGATCATACAAACAACAACAACAACAACAACTGCAACAGCAACAGCAACAGCAGGATACATACATCGGGACATTGATTTAATTAAAATTCAAGCACATTCACACACACACACACACAAACAAACACATCCATCTATAACATTGTCGTAATCGGTAGTAGTAGTAGTTGCTGTTGTTGTTGTTGTTTTAGTTATTCGTCATCATCATCATCAATCGTGTCCAAGTGATCTGTGTGTGTGTGTGTGTGTGAAAAAGTTGATTACAGACATTGGTCCGAAAAATGAATTCTGTATATTGTTGTTGATGATGATGATGATAATAATGATTCATTTCAAAAGAAATTCACTAGAATTTTAGTATAAAAAAAAGGGAAAAAAATTGTAATAATAACTTGAATAATATTTGGGGTTGACAAATCTTGAATCACGAATCATGTCATATCGCAAACACACCAATACACACACAAACATACACACAGAAATTTGAATTAAACTGCCACCTTGCTGTTGTTGTTGTTGTTGTTGTTGGCCAATATAAAAATTCTGGTTATTAAAATGCCGTTATAGAATTTTGTGTGTGTGTTTACTGATGATGATGATGATGATGATAATGATGTTCATTATATTGAATCATTTGATCCACTAAAGCGCATATTATTTATTTATTTATTCTGTATTCTTGATCATATTATATGATACTAATATGTGTCATTGCAAGCTGACTTATAGACATTCTGTGTGTGTGTGTGTGTGTATGTAATTTTAGGCTTAAAAAAACTTATTATGACCACCACCATCATCAGAAATTATAATAAAAAAAAACTGACCAATAGATGCAGTAATATCGATGCAAATATATGATAAAGTAAATCAATCGATCAAATCAAATCAAACGGAAATTCAAATTGAAACATTGTAAATGTTTCCAAATACAAAAATCTAATTCTAGTTTAATATTGATTCATCGAACCAAAAATTTATCGAACCAAAAAAAAATTAATTAATTCAAATAATTAAATCATCTGCTCCTACTGCTTGAAGTGGGAAGATGAATTCTTAGATTTCGTTTTTCTTTCGATAACGAAATAACTAACGAATGATGGTGTGGATCAATTGATAAGATGTGCTATACATGTATGTGTGTAGGTGGATCACTATAAAAAAAATAAGGTAGGCAGAGGCACCCAAATCATCACCATCATCATCATCGATATATCGATGTTAACAAACAACCGCGACGTATGATACACACTACAATATTGTGCGTTTTTTTTTACATTTAGATTGTAATCAAATGAATGAATGAAAAAAAAATTTGTCAATCTCGAACGCCTACATATGAGAATTTTTCTTGTTTTTTTTTCTCGTTTGACGTTTTTCTTTTTTTTTCCATTTTCTCATTGTCAAATGACATAACAACAACAACAACAACAAAAAAAAAAACAAAAAAAAAAACATGTTGTACACACACACACACACACACCCGCCTACATTGATTTGCCAGTTCTGATTTGTCAATTTCAATTCATTGATTGTCATCATCATCAATTCATTGTTGACAGCCATCATCATCATCGTTGTTGTTGTTGTTGTCGATGTTGACATTTTCAAATTTTTTTTTCATTCTGATTTTATCTCTGAAAAAAAAATGCAGAAAGATTGGTGAATAAATAATAATAAATTTTTTTTTATGATTTGAGAATAAATAAATAAAAATTCATCTTGAAAAATTCTAAAAAAAAAATGCAAATTAAGATGATGGTGATGATGGTGATGATTACGGCAATCTAACAATAAATAATAAAACATTTGTTCAGACGCGCATGCGTATGTTATGTAAAACAAAAAATGTGTGTGTGTGTGTGTGTGTGTGCATGTGTGTTTGTTGAATCTTGTTGCATTTTTTTTTTTCAATGATATATGAAAAATGATGATGAGAAAACACATTTAAAAGAGAGAGAAAAAAAATTTCTAGATTCGAACATCTGGTTCACCTCGTAAAAGAAAAAAAGAAAAAGAAAATCTAATTGAACGAAAATCAAAACCCAAGGATGAAAAAAAAATCATCCATATAGGCCTTGAATGAATGAATGAATGAATATGACCCCCTAGTTTAGTTTTCGTTCCACCACCACCACCACCACCACCACGATATGTTCAATCCAATTGGTTGTTTGATTTTGTTTGATTTTTTCGATGTTTTGGGTGGAAAAAAAAAGTTTTTCTTTTCAGTACGGCGGCAACGGCAGTTTGCAGTTTGAAATTTTAAATTTTTAAATAAAAAAACTTTTTATTATTATTTGCAATCAGAAAAACTTTCGCACTAAAAAAAAAAAAAAAAAAAACGTTGAAAGCAATGACTTAATGGCTCGTATAAAATATAGCAATATCTTGCTTTTGGTGCGATGTGTGTGCGTGTGTGTCATTGTGTTTATATGGCGTTATTTTTCCATCATTTTCATCATTGAATTTCAATCCGGATAGGAGGCGTGAAAATGAAATGAACAAAAAAAAATTGACCGTAGAAAAATAAAAAGGTAAAATTTGTCTTATTTTTACTGTTTTGTTTTTCGTTTGTTTGTTTGTTTGTTTGTTTGTTTTTGGTTCCACAATGAAACAGACTTTCTGTTTGATTGGAATTGAAATTTTATGAATAATAAAAAGAGAAAAGTGAAATGAAATGTGTTTGAATGCAAACAAAAATCTAAAAAAAAAAGAGAAAAAATCAAAGTTGACATATATTATCATTACTGTCTGTGTTTGTGTGTGTGTCATATTCGCCCTTTTTTCCATGAAACACATGGGTAGGTAAAATTAGTAATGCTTGTTTTTTTTTTTGCTTGAAAATTATATAATCAAATTTTTTTTTTACTATTAATATTTGATACACTAGAGTCAGTCAATTTTTTTTTCTTTTGAATTTGTTCAATGCACTCTTGCTGTGTTTTGTGCGCCATTATTATTATGTTTTATGTACAATGCACATTCAAACACAATGTTTTTTTTATTGTGAAACAAAAAAAAATTAACTCAGCAATGATGAAGCAAACAGAACAAAACAAAACAAAAAAATACCAACCACCAATCATTTGAATTTCGAATTAATAATAGAAAATATATATTTGTATGATGATGATGATGATGATAAAGGGCGGACTTGTGAATATATTTGGAACAATCATAATTTCTGAATTGTCCCGGTTCTGGTTTTTCGTAGTTTTTTTCTTGTCATTGTGTGTGTGTGTGTGTGTGTGTGTGTGAAACATGAATTTTTGACAACAACAACAAGAATATGCACAGGAATATATATAAAAACACGTCAATTAACTGAATGAATTTTTTCCTTTTTTTTCACATATTCCAATGATGAATCAAATTGAATTTGATTTTTTTTGTTTTGTTTTGTTTTTATGTTTTGTGAACAGTGATTGTTTCATTTCATTAATGATGACCTATGAAACTGTATGGATGGACCAAAAATGAAAATTAATCGAAAACGGCAATGGCAACGCCAATCACATACGCATATATATAAACATTTAAATAGTATGTAATTTTGCTAAATTAATTCATATATATATTCAATCATTTTGTTTGATCTAATTCATCCGATTTATATGGAGACAAACAAACGAAAAAAAAAAAATGGATACAAATCAATTTTTTGTGCCCTAAGGTCTATCTAGCACACATATACAATTTTCATTCTTCATTTATGATTGTTGTTGTTTGCAATATATAGAATTTGATGGATTTATTTTTTCATTTCATTACATTCCATTCCATTTACTATTTAATATTCCATTGTTTTTAATGGATTATCATCATCATCATAACATGAATTGATTTATTGAAATTTCAGAATGAACAAAATGAAAAGAATTTATATCAACCATATAAAGCTAATGAGAATTTTTGTTGTTGTTGTTGTTGTTGTTTGAGTGTGAAACAAAACAGCAACAACAACAACATAAAAAAGTTCCAATTCCGTTTCAATGATTCTTTTCTCTGTTTTTTTTAAAATATATTATTTGTTTGTTTAGATTCCACACCATCAGAATATATGTGTTTGCGAATTCAAATGGCTGAAATTTTTTTTTTTTTATTTATTTATTTTTGTTTTATTTGTCTGATTCAATGTTGGTGATTTTGGGTGGCAAAATACATGATAGAGGAAACAAGCCTTGAAGGCAGATGAGTAAACTTTTTTTTATTTTCACGCTTATATTGTTTTTTTTCTCTCTGCTGTTTTAATGTTATGGTACCATTTGTGTTCAAAATTCGTATTCAATGCCGATTATTATACAAATCATCATGCCAATGTTGTTGATGATGATGATTTGATGATGGATCTAATTTAGTTTTCATCATCATCATCATCATTATGAGAGTTTGCGTATTTGTTTGTGACATTCTGCATAGGTGTGTGTGTGTGTGTGTGTGCTTAATGTCAAAATGATAAGATTCAAGCATGTATGTATGTATGTTTGGGTGCATTTTATCTATTTAGTATACTACAACTGTTGTACTTACTAAGAGGTCGATGTTTGATTGATTAAATTTAAGTTGAAAATATTTATCTTTGTGAAATGAAAAATTCGAATGACTAATGACCAATATGTCAATGTCATCATCATCATCATCATCATCGATGTCATCGATGATAATGTGTATGTGTTTGATGATAAAAAACATATTCAGAAGCTCTAAAAAACACATTTTTCCTATTAAACTGTTTTGCACCTCTGCAGTGTCAAATGTCATCATCATTCATTCGGATTTTTCATTTTTTATTTCAATTCCGAATAAATTGAATGAATGAATAATATCCATCCATATGATATGACATGTGATTGATTTCGATTCAAATCTGATTTATATTGACAATTTTTTTTTGTGTATGTGTGTGTGTGTGTATGTGTTATTCATTTCCATATTCATGATCATTATTGATGTTGAATGATAACTGATGAATGATGATGATGATGACTATAGTATAGTAGCTAATGGCAATTTGTCAATCGTTTGCGATGAAAAGCATTGGTTGTCTGATATATATTTATTTATGAGAGCTTAAGTGCTTTTTTTTCTTGAATTTCTGAAAAAACGGATGTTTTAAAAATATGCAAAAAAAATAAATCGTTTAAATTATCGAGGATAAATGAATTTTTTTGTTTTGGCCACATTTCGGATTAAAATTGGGTACTGATTTTTTTTGTTTTGTTTTGTTTTGGGTTTTTTTCTCGACATTTCTTCATGATTATTTTCTTTTCTTTTTTTTTGTTCTAAGTTGATTTGATCCTTCCTACGCAGTAATGTTTCCGGAAAGATCAATGATCAACGTTGGATCAGACAGACAAATTTTTTTTTATTCTGAAGATCAACAAAAAAAATCGACAAATTTCAATATTTCAGTGGATGGTTTTTTTTCTCCTGTGATATAACAACTGTCCAAATATTCACATTTTTAAAAACAAAAAAAAAAACAACAACAGCAGCAGCAGTAGCAGTTGTTTATCCAATCATCAATGAATCTATCAGGTTTCAAGATCTTTCAACCATTATCTAGACAGATAGTGGAAAAAAAAGAGGAAATCTGGTTTCAAAGCTCACAAAAAAAACAGAGAAAAAAATTTTCAATTCAATTCAAAACAATGGTGAATCAAAAATCAAAATCAAAAAAAAAAAAAAAAAAAAAGATTCCAGTAATTTTAATGTGTACCAACACTATGAGACTGAATGAATGAATGAATGAAAAAAAAGAAAAAGAAGAAGAATAGATAACCGAATATGGGTATTAAGAATCCGACAAAAGACTATTATCATCATCATTATCATTATCATTATATGCTACTATATGAATGGCTATTATTATTATTATTATTATCATTATGCTAATGTCATTTTGGGTGTTTCTTTTCATCATCATCATCACCATCATCAATGCCATTGTCATTGTCGTAGTTTATGTTTTTATTGTAAAATGTGAAAACTAGAAAAGAAAAAAAAAATTACTGTAAATGGGTGTCGGCCGACCAGACTAGAGAAGACATAGAAGACAGAGATAAAGAGAGAGAGAGAGAGAGAGAGAAAATTCGGTGAAATTACCGAATTTTTTTTTCTTTCTTTTTTAATTCGATTGTTTTTTTTTTTGCCCAACAAAAAAAAAGTTATTTATTCAAATCGCCATGTTGGCCATTGTTGTTTTCCCTTTTTACCACCATCAGCATTGTTGCAACTTATTGTTGTTGTTGTTGTTGTTGGCTACTGTTTTTGGTGAAAATTTTTATCATTCATTCACTCTGGCAATCATAGAATCAGTGAATGGACATTTGGATTAATGACAATTAAGATAAAAAAAAACAAAACAAAACAAAAAAAACAATCACTATTAATGATAATGATGATTAAAAGTGTGAACAAAATACCCCCTCCCCACACCAAAAAAACAACAACAACAACAGTTTTGAACAGTTGACAACAAACTGATAAATCAAAGATTTATAATGCTGTACTGAGAGAGAGAGAGAGAAAATTTAAATAAAATAGAAAAAAAAACCGACACCCATGAAAAAAGTGGCTTGTGAATTTTCAAATTGTGAATGGACAAAAATAAAAAAAAAATTGTTGACTACAGCAAAAATAAAAGGATTTTTTCATCCATTCATCTCTTTTTTTTGTTGAATGATTGAATTCAATGAATAATTCCGGGTACACACACACACACACAAATGTTTTGACAAAACAAAAGAAAAAAAAACAATTCAAAAAGATCGATGAGCGATAGATAAAAAATTATCTTTAACCCGATTTTGAAAAATGTACATTTTTTGTTGTTGTTGTTGTTGTTCTCTCTACATTCACACCATTATTATGTTGTATTTTTTTTCTCATTCAATTTTTTTCGTATGTTTTCCTATTCACCGTATTGTTTTTTTTTTCATTATTATCGAAATGTTTTGGCCATTATTTTTCATTTTCCTCGAACAATTGATGATGATGATGATGATGAAGTGTGATGATGGTTGGTTATATTTGGTGTGTGTGTGTGTTTTTTTTGTTTTGTTTTGTTTTGTTTCGATGCAAGGTCCACACACACACGCACTAACACATTTGGACAAAAAAAAATACAATAAAAATTATTCGATCTCAGCAAAAAGAGAAAAAAATCCATATTGTCAGTCAGAATATTCTGATAGAATTTGGCCATGGTTTTTTTTTTTTCTCTCTCTCTTTTTTTGTTTTGTTTTGTTTATGTCATGTTTAACCATGAATTTGTGATGATGATGATGATTTAGCAGCAGCAGCAGCAAACAGCAATTGTGTTCTTTTGGGTATAAATAAATATTCCGTACAGCAAATTTATTGTGTGTGTGTGTGTGTATGTGGGTGGATGGGTGTATTGTAAAGTGTTTCCAACATGGGGGCGTGTAGAATGGATAGTAATATTGTTTTATAGGTGGTGGTGATGGTGGCCACCATCATCATCATCATCATCATGACAAAAACGAATCGTTTTTTTTCTGTTTTTGTTTTTCGCTTAGATCAGCGTTAACTCTTTTATTTCTATTTTATATTATATAACAGAAAAAATACAAATTCGATAACAATCCATCCAAAGAGAATATTATTTTAACTTGACATCCACAACAACTGGAGAAATTTTTCTATTTTTTTGAATTACGACAAGTTTAGGTTGTTGATCGTATGATCGTTAGGACGTTGTTTTTTTTTTGTTTTTTTGTTTTATCGTGTTTTTTTTCCTCTCGTTCTTTGTTTTTTGATCGATTTATTCATTTTTCTTTGGAATTTTATGGTGGTGTTAGTGGGTGGTGGCGATGGTGGTGGTGGGTGGTGGTGGTGGTGGTGATGATGCTGCAAATGAAGGCAATTCACAATCAAGCATATAAGAAGCTGAATAAAGCAGGATCATCATGGATGGCCCAGAAATTTTTTTCATTTTATGAGCAATTCATTTGAATGTCGTAAATCTAAATCAGCGAAATAAAAAAAAAATATAAAGTAAAAGTAAGAGAGAAAAACCTATCTTCAGCATCATCATCATTGGAGAAATTTTTTTTCAGAATGAATGAACAAAACGAAGATGGCTGATAGATGAGATGAAACTGAAATCGAAATAAATTTTTAGAAAAGAAAAAAAAATTCTCCAACAACCAACCAACCAACCAACCAGCTTATATACTTGGAAGACAAAATAAATGAATGAATGAATGAAAAAAGGACCAAACTTTGAATCTGTGTGTGTGTGTGTGTTGTTTGCGACTCACCAGAATTGGAAATAAATTTAAATTTTTTTTTTGTTCTCGTCGTTTTTGTTGTTTGTCTTCAGTTGAACGTGTACAGTCAACCAAGACCAAATTCAACGAAAAAAAAAATTTTTTTGATATATAGTGTTTGTGTAGGGCAGGCAAGAAAAAAAACCTAATGCGACCATTTTTCAAGGACCATGAAAATCATCATCATCATCTTCTTCTTCATATACAGAATGTAAAAATGACAAACGAATGTAAATGAAAATAAAACAA